TGAGATGAGGTAATATGTACACTATTTACATTATTCGACCATTGTCCTCATCTTTGTCGCCATATTTATTACAACGTTTCGGCTTTTCAGTATCTGTCTATATTTCTGAGATGAGGTAATATGTACACTATTTTACATTATTCGGACTATTGTCCTCATCTTTGTCGCCATATTTATTACAACGTTTCGGCCTTTCAGTATCTGTCTATTTCTGGAGATGAGGTAATATGTACACTATTTACATTATTCGGACTATTGTCCTCATCTTTGTCGCCATATTTATTACAACGTTTCGGCCTTTCAGTATCTGTCTATATTTCTGAGATGAGGTAATATGTACACTATTTACATTATTCGGACTATTATCCTCATCTTTGTCACCATATTTATTACAACGTTTTGGCCTTTCAGTATCTGTCTATATTTCTGAGATGAGGTAATATGTACACTATTTACATTATTCGGACTATTGTCCTCATCTTTGTCGCCATATTTATTACAACGTTTCGGCTTTTCAGTATCTGTCTATATTTCTGAGATGAGGTAATATGTACACTATTTACATTATTCGGACTATTGTCCTCATCTTTGTCGCCATATTTATTACAACGTCTTGGTCTTTCAGTATCTGTCTATATTTCTGAGATGAGGTAATATGTACACTATTTACATTATTCGGACTATTGTCCTCATCTTTGTCGCCAAATTTATTACTATGTTTTGGCCTTTCAGTATCTGTCTATATTTCTGAGATGAGGTAATATGTACACTATTTACATTATTCGGACTATTGTCCTCATCTTTGTCGCTATATTTATTACAACGTTTCGGCCTCTCAGTATCTGTCTATATTTCTGAGATGAGGTAATATGTACACTATTTACATTATTCGGACTATTGTCCTCATCTTTGTCGCCATATTTATTACAACGTTTCGGCCTTTCAGTATCTGTCTATATTTCTGAGATGAGGTAATATGTACACTATTTACATTATTCGGACTATTGTCCTCATCTTTGTCGCCATATTTATTACAACGTTTCGGCTTTTCAGTATCTGTTTATATTTCTGAGATGATGTAATATGTACACTATTTACATTTTTCGGACTATTGTCCTCATCTTTGTCGCCATTTCAGTATCTGTCTATATTTCTGAGATGAGGTAATATGTACACTATTTACATTATTCGGACTATTGTCCTCATCTTTGTCGCCATATTTATTACAACGTTTCGGCCTTTCAGTATCTGTCTATATTTCTGAGATGAGGTAATATGTACACTATTTACATTATTCGACTATTGTCCTCATCTTTGTCGCCATATTTATTACAACGTTTCGGCTTTTCAGTATCTGTCTATATTTCTGAGATGAGGTAATATGTACACTATTTACATTATTCGACTATTGTCCTCATCTTTGTCACCATATTTATTACAACGTTTCGTCCTTTCAGTATCTGTCTATATTTCTGAGATGAGGTAATATACACTATTTTACATTATTCGGACTATTATCCTCATCTTTGTCGCCATATTTATTACAACGTTTCGGCTTTTCAGTATCTGTCTATATTTCTGAGATGAGGTAATATGTACACTATTTACATTATTCGGACTATTGTCCTCATCTTTGTCGCCATATTTATTACAACGTTTCGGCTTTTCAGTATCTGTCTATATTTCTGAGATGAGGTAATATGTACACTATTTACATTATTCGGACTATTGTCCTCATCTTTGTCGCCATATTTATTACAACGTCTTGGCCTTTCAGTATCTGTCTATATTTCTGAGATGAGGTAATATGTACACTATTTACATTATTCGGACTATTGTCCTCATCTTTGTCGCCAAATTTATTACAATGTTTCGGCCTTTCAGTATCTGTCTATATTTCTGAGATGAGGTAATATGTACACTATTTACATTATTCGCACTATTGTCCTCATCTTTGTCGCCATATTTATTACAACGTTTCGGCCTTTCAGTATCTGTCTATATTTCTGAGATGAGGTAATATGTGCACTATTTACATTATTCGGACTATTGACCTCATCTTTGTCGCCATATTTATTACAACGTCTTGGCCTTTCAGTATCTGTCTATATTTCTGAGATGAGGGTAATATGTACTAGATGATTATTCGGACTATTGTCCTCATCTTTGTCATCAAATTTATTACAACGTTTTGGCCTTTCAAATCTGTCTATATTTCTGACCATTGTCCCCATTATTCTTTGTCTTTTGTCGCCATATTTATTACAACGTTTCATTTCAGTATCATCTATTCTCTGAGATGAGGTATTATGTACACCATTTGTCATTAGTCGGACTATTGTCTCATCTTTTGTCACCATATTATTACAGCGTTTCTGCCCTTGTACGCCCGGCCTTCTTCAAGTAGTTGGAATGTCGAACTGAACCTTTGTTGCTCACTGGGGTAGATTGTTCTAGAACAGTCTACCCCAGTGGAGAAGGCCGGAGCGTACAACGGCCG